ACTCGACGGCTTGGCGGAAGGCCGTCAAGATGGCCTCACGGGAGGTGACGTCCTCGCCGACACCGAACTGGCGAAGATCGACAGTGGCCGCAGCCTGGCTGTCCCAGAAGTAGCCCTCGAACACATAGATTGCCCGCCAGGAGACGCCGACACTGACACACACACATATCCAGAGACGAGTCCCTCATGACATCCGTCCGTCCATTGTCGCTGCGAGTCGTCCTCCCTCGCTTACCCTCCGTTGTTGAGGCAGAGGGAGTGGACATTTGGCTGCTCCTGACGCAGCCGCCGCATCAGTCCACGACCCAACGCGTCGCCCGTCAGCCCGCCCAGGTCGTAGCGGTCAGGCGCAGGCGAGAGGCCGCCATCCTCCTCGTCCATCCGCCGCTGCTTGTTTCGCTGGCTGCCATTGCGGCCCTCACGTGAGCCACTGCTGTCGCTGCCGCTCCATGGAGGCGCCCCTCTCTCGAACGGGGAGTGCCGCTGCTCCATCAAGGCCCGTTTGTGCCGGCTGGCGGCATCCATAGCAGCCTCGTAGCCCAGCCTGGTGTGATGCCGATTGGTCTTCTGAAGCTGTTTGATGAATCGACTGGCGGCCTCCTTGATGTCCTCGCCGTCACGCTGCCCCACCATGGCCGGCAGCTCACGGCGCACAAACGAGTCGATAGACGCAAAGCTCAGAGCTGGGACGGCAGCCAGCATCGCCCCAATGTTGTGACCCACTTGACTGTACACGCGGCAGAGGACCATCCGCTGGGCGTGTGTCATGGGCTGCTGGTCCTCAGTGCCGTCAATGTCCATCTCCTGCTGGCGGCATGCCCACGCGGCATCGATGGCCGCCCCCATGGCCTCCCTGGTGGCCGCTGAGAGGGGCACAGACTGCACCGGGGTGCCCGGCAGGACCACCTCGACGGCCAGCTGGGTCAGGGCAGACCCACTCCTGAACCGCAGGCAGAGAGGCGTGTCGGGATGGGCTCGGCCGAGTGCCTCCAGCTGCTGGTAGAAGTGGCGAATCAGGTCTCCCTGCTGGACCGGCGTCACACGAGGGCCGCGAGTGGGCGTGTGATGATCCTGCAGCCCACCAGGGGGGCCCTCCCGCAGTTCACTTCGGGCCTCGATGTCCGAGGGATTGCGGTCGAATCGGTCGTCTCTGCGGGGCAGCGGTCGGTTGGTGACACGGCGAGCCGTAGGGTGCAGAGGCACACCGCCCCCCACACCACCGTCACGCAGCTGAGGCGCCAGTCGCTGTCTGCCGGGCAGAGGACGTTCGTCGCCATCGTCGGCCCTTGTGGCATCAGCCTGGTCGCCATCCAGCACCGCCGCTCGCTCTGACGTGTCCAATCGCTCCATCTTCCGTCTGTGCGCGATGGCGGCCTTCTTAGCACCCTCGAAGCCAAGCTGCCTGACGGAGAAGGGCTTGTTCTTCTGCTTGCCGGTCTGCTGCCAGCTCGAGCGCCATGAGTTGTTTACCTTGTCGTAGCTGACGCCCTTGACGCCGCTCTGGTGTGCCGCTCTCTTCATGACTGCTGCCCTCCCCGTACGCTCCATCTCACGACGATACTGCTCGGCCAACGCCTGAAGGAAGAGCACGCGAAATGAGTGCTATTGGTCTTTGCTGTCGCTTGTGCTTTGTACCTTAGCTTTCTCGAAGCCGTGCTTCTTGACAGTGAAGTACTTGCTCCTCATCTTGGGGTCCCCCCTCTCGTACCACGATGACACCCACGCCTGAGACTTCTCATACCAGAAGACACCCGACACGTCAGATTGGTGCTCGGCAGCCCTTCGTATGCCCTGGCCGGTCTTGGTTGTCTTGCCACTGTTGGGGCTCGGCCGCCTCTCGATGGCTGATGGGCTGCTACTGCCGAGAGCCCCATCTCTCCGGCGTTGCTTGCGAGAGCGGCTGTGGTCGGATGACTCGTCACGCACCGACAGGCTCAGCTCCTCAACCCCCTGCCGCTGCCGGTTGAGCCATGAGAGGCCGATAATGGTCGCTCGGTCGCCGAGTTGGTCACGGTGGATGGTGTTGCGGTACGCCACACATTGACGGAGCGCCTCGAGGACGCAGTCACGGGAGTCGGGATCTTCGATGACGAACTTGCGGAAGCCCAGGTGCT